TCTCGGGGATATTTATAATGTTGGGAGTAGGCGTTTTACTTCTGTTCATGATTTGGTCGATGATCTTCCAGAACTCGAGGGATTCAATTTGCTTTTTTTCAATCGTGGCCTGGACCTCTTGTGCATTTGGCGTTATCTAAAAATATTTTCGTAGCGATTGCTGGCAGTTCTGAATGCAGTAAGGGTGAAACTAGATCGCTCATTGCGATAAATATTGGAATAGTGGTTCCGGTGAGTTACGGGCAGCAGCACATTCAGGGCTGAACCATTGCTAACTGTTTGGGTTTTGCTGGAAAGTTTTGGGGGCATAAAATTCTTCATTCAAGAAAGGATCCATTCAGAGACAAGGGCAGCAGTTTTGAAGACAGCATGCGTGAAGAAGGTTGAGACGGGATCTTCCGTCAGGTTGAATCGAAAGCTGTCCCAGTCAGCCATCGCGTAGCGAAAAATTGTTCTATGGAACGGTAGATCAAGAGATGCCTTAGGTTTGGCATCAATCGGTACACTGTTTAGGAAATTTTCTGGCATGACCAAGAGGGTAAAACTTTTGTCAAGCATTTATCAGGGAAAGAAGTTAAAAAGAAGTCGATGAGATTCGCCTGATGTCCGGGATATATATATATATATATATATATATATATATATATATATATATATATATATATATATATCGTCATACCCAGGAAATATATATATATATATATATATATATATATATGTGTGTGTGTGTGTGTGTGTGTGTGTGTGCGCGTGTGTGCGCCTGGGTATGACGATAAACTACATCCGACAGCATGTCTTTTCATCGGGAGATTGGAGGATTTGAGGAGCGTGGAACCACTTTTTAGTTGCTGTTGTTCCCAGGTCCGCCCAGAACCTGGGTGGTAGCACCTGTTAGGGTCCCAGCTATGGGAAAATAGTGGCTACCAGAGCCGACCAAGCTCTTTAGTGTTATAGAACACGAATGGTCAAGAGATGGAAAACTCTTTTTTCCGAAAAGTGTGGATGGTTCTGCAGTCTTAATTAAATCACTTGTGTGTGTGTTTCTGGCGGTTTACCTTGATTCGTTCATTCTTATCCACACAATTCACTTGCAAGGTCCACTGGCGAGAGAGTGAAGCCGACGGGGTCAGGTAAAGGATATTACTGGAAGGCTCTACCTGGAGCTCTACACAGTGGCCGACCGATGGGTGATGGCCGTTCATTCACAAACCCATGAGCAATTGTGATGTCCGTGTCCTCCATCGGTTACAAAGCAGCCCTATTTAGGATTGCACTGCTTTCCCTATTATTGGGAGGGGGCGATAAAAGGAGCCCTAAACATTGCTTGTTCACACAGTGACTTGGCAGCCCACTGCAGCTGTCTAGTTATCCAATAAAGCAGTCGAAACAGCAAGGAATATCAGAATAAATATAAGAAGAATTTCTATTTTGGATCTTGGAATGTTCACACTCTTCAGGACAATGATTCTGCACCAGAGCGTAAAACAGCTCTTGTTTCTCTCGAGTTGAAGAAATATAACATCGACATAGCGGCCATTAGTGAAACACGTCTGGCTGATAATTCTCAGCTTAGGGAAGCAAAAGGTGGATACGTGTTTTTATGGGCCTGCAAGACTGAGAAAGAGCCACGCCAGTCTGATGTTCGCTTTGCCATCAAGTCAGACCTTGCTAGCTCACTGCCTTCCTTACCTAAAGGTGTACCCGATCGCATAGTGGAATTAACCCTCAATCTGGAGTGCAACACCCGTGTGACGATGTTTAGCTGCTATGCGCCAACCTTAGGTAGTTCAGATCAAGAAAAAGATGATTTTTACAATCTCCTTCGGGTTGTCATCTCCAAAGTCCAACATAAGGATAAATTAATGCTTACAGGTGACTTCAATGCTCGTGTTGGCAATGATTATCATTCTTGGAAGGGAGTTTTAGGTCGACATGGTATTGGTCGTATGAATTCTAATGGATTACGCCTTCTCCCTATCTGCAAGGATTTTGACCTTAGTATCACTAATACCTTCTACCAGCAACCCAGCTGTCGGAAGACGACATGAATGCATCCTCGTTCGAAAGACTGGCATCTGATCTTCTACGTCATCACCAAAAGACGGGACAGAAAAGATTTTAAGATAACGTGTTCATTCCACACAACATGCTGTCAGATCAAGCTCTACTTCGAAGTAAAGCTACACTGCATCTGCAAAAGCGAAGGATTATGAAATCTACAGTGCCCAAGCGCATTAACGTACTGCCTCTTAAATCGACTGAAACAAAAATTGAGCTCTCTGACAAACTTGATGCTGCACTTGGTTCTGTAAACATTACCAATGATTTCGAATCATCTAGGAAAGCTCTGCGTGATGCAACATATTCTACATCCTTAGAGGTTCTCGGCCTATCACATCGTAAACATCAAACTGGTTTGATGACAATAAAACAGAAGTTCAGCAGCTTATAGATCAATTGCTCTCTTCTCATAAAGCATGGACTGAGGGCAAGAAATCGTCTGATAAGAAGATCGCTTAAGTCAGGTACAACGAGCTCTCAGGGCTTCAGATAGAAAGCTTCTAAAGGCTTTCTATGCTGGCCTCAAGAGCATTTTCGGTCACCAGTGGTGTTGCTCCAATCTCTACAGCAGATGGTGAACACGGTCAAAATATTGTGTCCATGTTCATAGTTGATATTATTGAGTGTTGACTTTTTTTTTCATTGATAAGGCTACCATTATTTTCAGCCTTTTTTTTTGCATGTAGATGATGCTATTATATTTGTGTTGTCAACAAGTATGTTACGAATAGTGTCCGGTAGGTCTCTATGAATACCTTGATCATGTTTTGAAAATGAAAACATATAATTACATACATGCAACAATCTATTTCTTGTTCACTCTTAACATATTTGGACCTCGAAAATGGCTAAATGTATAGCCGAAAGCGCTCGGATAAAAAGAACATTTATACAGTTTTTATATAATTTATCATCTGAAAAGAAAAAATTATTACATCACATGACAAGTTGTATAAAAAACTAAATCAAAGCACCTTGTCTGTCGTATTCATTGAAATACACACACACACACACACACACACACACATATATATATATATATATAATTAAATAAATAGATATGAGAGACTACAAGAAGCTTTAACTGGTACAGATAGAAAATATAGAGACTTAGATGGATAACTGGATATATAATAAATAGTTTGCTATAAACGATTGTTGTCGAGTAAGTAGGAACTTCGGTGATAAATTTAATAAATGTTTTTGATCCTCGTGAGAATGGCAATTTCAGATGATGTCAGCAAGTGACATGTAATGCTTATTGCAGTTGTGACAAACTAATTTGTTTTGTACAGGGCCTGGACTGTTTCATAACGTCTGTTCAGATTGTGGGTTTTCATGTGACGAGAGATTTCTGAAGGTTGCTGACACACCGCACTTTTTTAAGTTATTTCCAACGCAAAATACTGAGCGTAATTTGTCAAAGGTCTACCAATCCGACTCTTCTTGGGGCTAACAAGGCCTGAATTGAAGAGACATTCGATGCCACGATCATCACATAAAAACGCTATTCATGCAAAGATATACTCTGCCACATTCTACACATGCAAAAGAGAAGCCTGTGTTGGACAGACAAATTCTGCCACATTCTACACATGCAAAAGCGAAGCCTGTGTTGGACAGACATAATCTGCCACATTCACCACATGAAAAAGCGAAGCAAGAGAGACATACTCTGTCACATTTATCAAAAGAAAATCGACTCTATGCATTGGAGAGAGATATTCTGCCACATTCATCAGATAAAAGAGCGAGGCCTGCATTAGAGAGACATATTCTTCGGCATTTTACACATGAAAAAGCGGGGTCATATTTGGATAGACATATTCTGCCAATTTCTCCACATTAATAGCGAGGTCTGTGTTGGAGAGACATACTCTGCCATATTCATCAATTGAAAAAGCTAAGCATACACTGGAGGGTCATACTTTGCCGCACTCATAACGTACAAAAGCTAGTTTCACGTTGGAGAGCCATACTCTGGTACATTCATCTCATGAAAAAAATTAAAGGATTGATGCATCAACGATTTCCTCTTTCCTAGCTGCCCGCTTGACATTTACCCAACTCATTTCATGTTCTTGGAAAATATTAGTATCGTCCTGAACTGTACATATTGCTATATATATATATATATATATATATATATATATATATATATATATATATATATAGATGAATACGTATATATATATATATATATATATATATATAAGAATATTGCAAGATTTCGTGCCTGTTTAGAAAAATAAAAACAAAATTATACTTACAAAAGTCATTTAATAGTCAAGTACATAATCCCCATTTATTTTAGCAACTTTATTCCCATTATTCTACAAGCTTGCTGATGACATTTTTGTAGAATCCTTGTGCTTTTCTTGGAAGAAGTTTGAGCATAATATATTCTTTGTTATTTAAATTTGTCTGTAGAAACCGGAATAAATGAAAATCTGAAGGAGTTAAGTCAGGAGAATATGGTGCGGTCTGGAGAGTTTATCATTTCAACACTTTCAGCTTTTGCAAGGTTTGTTTTGCAAAATTCGGTCTTTCGTTCTTGTGGTAAAAAAAATGGCACATTTTTGATTTGCCAAAACTGGCCCTTTCTCTGCAAATGGTGAAACGAAATTGGGATATAGATTTTCAAGCTCTTAGCAATCTCGCCCTTCGAATTCTTCGTTTTATTTTTCCACTATGGCAAGCAGAGCGTCTTCACCAACGGTGGAAGGCATGTGTTTGTGGACAAAACATTATCATTTGACAATGTCCTACTCGCAACTGAACAATGCAAGGTTTCAATTTGCGGTCATTTTACAATAACAATGAAAAGCGGGCACGAAATTTTGCAATAAGTTGATATATATATATATATATATATATATATATATATATATATAGATAGATAGATAGATAGATAGATAGATAGATAGATAGATATGAACAGAATGAGATAGATAGATAGATAGATAGATAGATAGATAGATAGATAGATAGATAGATATGAACAGACTGAGATAGATATGAACAGAATGAGATAGATAGATAGATAGATAGATGTGAACAGACTGAGATAGATATGAACAGAATGAGATAGATAGATAGATAGATAATGAACAGACTGAGATAGATAGATAGATAGATAGATATGAACAGAATGAGATGATAGATAGATAGATAGATAGATAGATAGATAGATAGATAGATATGAACAGACTGATATAGATAGATAGATAGATAGATAGATAGATAGATAGATAGATAGATATGAACAGAATGAGATAGATAGATAGATAGATAGATAGATAGATAGATAGATAGATAGATAATGAACAGAATGAGCTAAATAGATAGATAGATAGATAGATAGATAGATAGATAGATAGATATGAACAGAATGAGATAAATAGATAGATAGTTATAAAAATTTAACACAAAAGACGATGGACATAAGAGCCCAACTAATCCAAACAGATAACTGAAATTTTTATATAAGATCAGCGTTCCGTTTAAATATGATCACGTTGTCGTCACGTGGGCGATGTTGTTAAAACGTATTCGAAGATGATTTCCAAATATTAAAATATTAAATTTTTTATATGTTCTAATGTTAATTATGTTTAAATGAAAATGTCCATGATGATGGTCTTAAATAGACCGAAACGTCCGACGTCGACTTTATATTAACATTAATACAACATAATTGCATATTAAGATTTTTGTTTGTTTTTTCTGTATTTTTCTTCATATATATATATATATATATATATATATATATATATATATTGAAAATGACTGAAGTTTTATATTGATTAATTTTAATGGTCGACTTTTCCAACTTACGAAGAATCCTCGTCAAACAGGGAAAAAATTCCGTAAAGAATTTCCAAAGTTCATTTCTGAATAAAAAGTAGCATTAATATGGTCCAAACTTTCGACATTCTTAAGTCATCATCACTGTTATATTATTTTGACATTTTCTTTCAAAATGAACTTTGAACTTGATAGAATTTCACCTTGTTCATTGGTTGAGAAGGATTGTCATTTGGATAATTCAATCTTTGAAATTAATCGCCGTGAAATGTCTGGTGATTTCAATAGGATATACCGTAAAGAACATTTGCTGTCTAAATTCATAGTATTATATATATATATATATATATATATATATATATATATATATATATATATATATTGTCGCCATTTTATTCATTTACATACACATGTCACGCATGCGCGTTGTTTGTTTTTGATTTTATCGCCTGCCCAGTAGAGTAGAGTCAGTTGGGCACCGTCTGTAAGAGAAAGAGCACAATGGCACAATTCACTCTACTAGAGATTTGGTGAAGGGTATACTCTGCCGCTTGGTATTCGCATTCAGAGCTCCAATACGAACATTTCAGAGTGTTTAGGCCTCAATCTGAGGACGGTGCAGAGGATTCGGAAAGAGTTGGATGTGTCTAACGGTGATTACGATGGTACGTGCGCTTGGAAAACTCACTCTGCTCGTTTTGATAAGAAAAGAACTCCAGGATTTTTATGAGGGCCTCAGACTCAACATAAAGGCCCACATTAAGTGACTTGTGGAGGTAGTTCTGCCCTGGGTCAAGTCGGTGGCTGCTGGAAGATCCTATGTCTGGTAACAGGACTGTGCACCATGCCACACATTTTATTTTGTATATTTGCCTCGGGATGGGAGTATTTTTTTCAGGAATTGAGATATTTGAAATAAACCCTGGCGTAGTTTTATATTTTTATAAGATTTGATGCCGATATTCTCCAGAATTTTGTAGATAAACTAATCAAAGTCGAATATACGATAGAATTTATTTATCAAACAGAAACAAACAATACTTAATCTTTCCGAAATATCATGTTAGCCGTAATGAGGATAGCCTATAACTAAGTGTACATCGCAAATCCCCCAATAATAATGATCTCATGAATTTCTATTCTCACCATAACAACAAAATAAAATCTGGAATAATGATTTGAATATTTAAGAGCACTCAGAATTTGCAGCCCTAAATGTTTACATGAATACATTGATAACACTTTTAAGTAAATTGCTGGGATGAGGCTTTATCGTTATTTATATTCGGTCTATTGTCTTCATCTTTGTTGGGTGAGCCTATTCACCAGTGTTCCTACAGATGGGGCCCTGACAGTGGTTCGAAACCAATTGAAATTAGACTCCTCCCTGTAAGAATGTACGAACATTCCAAAAGATAATCTCATGGAAATATTGACGTTCTGTGGCAGACATTCTTCCAACAAGAGTTTTGACATATGCCAACAGGAGGAAGGCTTGGTTATGGTTCGCTAATTTTACCGGTAATAGCAAACATATACATGGGATACTTTGATGAAATGGCTTTAGAAACGGCACCACTAAAGGTAACATTATAGCTAAGATACGTAGATGACACCGCCATACACCAGAAAGTTGTACAAATACTGCTGGGCCTTGTGAACTCAATAAGATCTTTGATCTAGTTCACAACGAAGAAGAAAAAAATCAGATTGCTTTCCTGGATGTACTAATAACTCGTACAGAGGATGAGTTCAAAACAACGGTGTATTACATGCGAACCTTCACCAGTTAATAGATTAACTTTAATCCCCACTATCCGCACAGTGTGAAGAAAGTGGTCGTTTGATGCCTACAACAGCGGGCAAAAATCATAGGTGACGACCCAAACACATACCAACAAGATTCCCCCTTAAGGAATAACAACTACCCGGAAAATGTGAAATTAGCGTCAGCAGGTACGAGCAGAAAAGAGAAAGAAGAAAAAAAACCCACAGATTTCTCACGGTCTGCCTCTCTAATTTCGAGGGCTTATCGGAAAAGGTACAGAAGAACTGCGGCCCATACAACATCAGAACAATATTCAGAAGCAGTTCTACTCTACGGAGAAATCTCTGTCGAGTAAAGTCTAACATTTGGGAGAATATAGCCAAGAATTGCGCGTACTCGATTCCTTGCAATTCTAGCAGAAAATATAAAGGTGAAACAATCCGCCTCCTAAAGGTAAGGCTGGAGGAACATCGAAAAGCCGTATGTGAAACGTTGAAATCAGGCATTGTTGATCGTGTGGAGTGAAGTGAAAATACCGGACAGGGAAGAACATTGGAGAGTTAGATGGCTATAAGAATCTCCTTAGCAGGCCTAGCATAGAAATAAATACAATATGGGAACCGCTAATAAGGTCAGAAAGATAAATGAGAGCAAGTATTCAACCGCAGCAGCTACAGTGATAATAAAAAAGCAGCAGTCAAAAGATGACAGACTAGTAGCAGCAGCAGTGTTAGCAGCAGCCTAATCAGCAGTGAAGTTTGGGTTTAAAGCTCTATGTTTACTCCAGTAATTGTCCGAGTGGGTAAAAGCGTTGGTTTGTGATATAATAGTTGTGAGTTCAATCTCTGGCCAGGCAGTGTGTACTTGAACTCAGTGGAAACGAGGCCAGCAATAACTAAGCAGTACTAAAAATAAGAACAGGACGAGATATCCTTAAACAGGGTCAGTAGAATAAGGACAGTCTACCCTTGTTGATTAAATAATCGGGTCAGTTCAGAATTCACTGTACATTACCCGGATCACTGTACACTCGAGGAAGACTGTAGTGCACAACGGCTGAATCGCTATAATAAAAACAACAAAGAGGGGGAAAATAATCCGGATCTAAATCAAAATGTTGTTCCACTGCTCATTACTAGGGATATCAAATCGCTCTTATTTTACTTAGCATTTTCTATTATTGCTCACGCGCGTCCACTGACTGAAAGTACGCACTGCCCAGCCTGGGGAATGAACTTACAATTACTATGTTACTAAATTCACGAAGCAACGTTTTAATTTACTAGGCTATATTCTCATGTGAATGAAGATCACAAATCATAAACTTAAACTGCATGATCATGGTTAGGGATTAAGTTTAAGTTTAGGGGTTAGGATTGCGAATAACAATGATCTTTTCCAGGCACAAGTCCCACTATTTAACCCATAGCTGGAGTGAGGATACAGATTCATATCTTTTCCAAGGATATTTTCGCGTAAGTGAATGTAACGAAACCTACTGGAATTCGAACTCAGCTCTCCGATTAACCGGGATTGAGTCTCTTCCGTAATTATTACAGCCACTGGAAATAGGTCCCTTGTCAAAATGCATTACCTCACCAGCAGTATTTACCTAATTGCATCAAATTTTATGCAAATGTTCTTTGACATTGTCATAATCTTAGGAGACATATTTGGAAAACAATTTATTTTACAGAAAAATACTCTACTACGATTTCAAGTTTGTAGCAATAATAACATTTACATTTTTAATATCAAATTTTATCTTACTTAACATTATAGTGTTCATTTTTCAGCACTTATAGATTCTTCAGTAACAATAAAGAATTTAAACCAGTGCTTCCCAACCGATTTTTGGGCCATTCTAAAATTCTGGCGCCCACCCACCGTAATATTTAATACTTACATATTCAAAATTTTACTGCAATTCACTTGAAGGAAGCTTAAATGGCCATTAACTTGGTCTCTAAACAAGCCTCTAAAGACCATGGCGTCCATGAAAGAGAACAATTAAAAAAACAAAAAGACAGTTAAATATATATAGTTTCAAAACATCTAATAGAGAATTGAAAGATAGAAATATAAAATATTTGAATGAAATCTTATTCTGTAATATACTTTTGATCATTTTAATCATGAAATAACAATGCCAAATGAAATTTGAGCTCATCACAAAATGACCTGGTGTGTGATGCCTGCTACAGATAGATTTTATATTAGACACCAATTTAGTCAGCTTAAGCCTCAAGTCTCCTCGTTTAGTGATATCCAGTTGATTTCTTCAATAACAAATCATTTTCGGCACTAAAACCACATTCTAACACACCTCGTACTTTAGAAAGGATCTGGACGACATGTATGACGTTCATATGAGAGTTTAGAACTGAAAGGTAGAAATATAAAATATTTGAATGAAAGCTTATTCTGTAATATACTTTTGATTATTTTAATCATGAAATAATAATGACAAATGAAATCTTAGCTCACGTTGGTCTAGTAAGCCGAAAGGTGCCCATCCTACGCATGCCCCACCGAAATATTACCATGTCCGACCGGTGGGGCATGCTTCCTACGTTAGGAATTATTGGTCTATACAAAAATGGTAAACTATATATCCAGTGAAAATAATTCCAGGCACAACTGAACTGATTTAAATTTTGGTTTAAAACAATGCTAACTTTGACAGAGAACTGCTGACCTTATCTTTGTTGTTGCTATGATAAAGTTCCGGTCGTTGTGCTCTCCGGTCTTCATCAGGCAGTATTAAAAAGGAGAACTAGCCTAGATATCGACATGGGCAGTAGAACGAGAACAATCTACCCCTGTAGAAATAAAGGGGTACAGTTTGGAATTATCTATAGGTTACCCAGATTGACATATTGATGAATGAAGGCCGGGGATTACAACGGCCGAAATTATGAGATAACAACAATAAAGATGAGGAAAATAGTCCGCATGGAAATAAGGAAAACCGTTTTAGACAGAATTTTCAGGATATACAATATGGCTGATGAATGGTGAAAGAAAGGCTGAAACTTGCTAAAAAGAGCAAAAATGAGAAAGCACATCAATTAAGAACTTGGTAAAATTTCTTGGAAGGTCAAAGAATATAGTCGAAAATATTTTCATAGCAACAAAGGTGAAGATTACTGTCGGAATAAAATGTAAAATACTAAAAATATTTTATCTTAAAATCTAAAATATCCAAACAGACAGAAGATCTCAGCCGAAACGATGCGTGAAAAAAAAAACAGCAATGAAGAAAATCGGTAAAATAATTAATTAAAACAGAGTCTTCTTTAGAAAAAAAAAACAACTACGCCTTTAGCGCACATGACAAAATCGCTTTTGCGATTTGGGACGAAGAATAATGGTCTTTTTGCAACAGATTTGGCCGTTAAAAATAGAATTTTAAATCGAATTCAGATAGACGTCCAATTTTAAACAGACTATTTCTAGAGTCTACCAAAAAGTAAGTAAAAAAATCAATTTTCATACATCTCTTTAGAATAAGTGTACAACGTTCCAAATACATTGTCCGAGGAAAAGCAACAAGCCGAGTTAACTATAAGAAAAGTCACTTTTCTAAAATGTATCTTAGCAGTAAACATGCGATAAACAGAATTGCCTAGAAAACCTTTTGTCATCCGATAAAACGATCTATTTTTCAGTAAATTATTGGGTACGATCAATACATCAAAGTTATTTAAAGAAAATAAGAACTTCAAATGACCTTATATGTACAATGCCGACAGTCAAATCACGCTATCAAACATAACAGTTCTCATTTGATCAACAAGATTAAGCAATGTCGAGCCTGGTCAGTATTTACATTAGTGACTGATTGGAAGCACTGGGTACTGTATGCAACCTCCTAGAATGCTGTTTCACACGTGACTGAAATGAGGCAACCAATCTATATTCAAACCGGATCAAACTATCCTAAGAAGTGTATACATGCGGCTGGGGACCATTTTGAATTCAAATTCCGACAGAAATCCTTACTATGGAGTCGTAGGTATGTCACAAACTGCGCCAAGTAAGGGTGTGTCATGGCCTCTGTCCTTTTTGCCCTTTTCTTCTCGGTGATGCTGAAATATGCATTTGCAGACACAGAGAGTGGCGTCAAGTTTCAGTTTCGAACAACTGGTTGTCTCTTCAATCATCAGCGTTTCAAAGCCAAGACCCACCTTCGTACACAAATTATTTGTGATTTGTTGTTTGCTGATGCTGCTGCTCTTGTAGCGACATCCTTTGAGGAGGCCCAACATCTAATAAATCGTTTCTCTGCTGCATGTAAATCCTTTGGTCTTACACTTACATAAAGAAAACTGAAGTAGTACACCAACCTTGTCCTACTCCGAAGCAATTGCATGGTGAGAAAGAAAAACCACCAGTCTACAAATTTCCAGAGAGACCATTGAAAATAGAAGACAAATCCCTGAACTATGTAAAGTCTTTCACCTGTCTTAGTAGCAAAGTCAATTACAGTGGAACTTTAGATGATGAAATCATGCATCGGACTGCTAAGGCTACCAGTGCTTTCGGCAAACTTTGTCATCACTTATGGAATGAGCGGGGTATTCGACTAGATACAAAAAATCGGGTTTACAGATGTAGCACCATGCATAATTAGAAAACTGAAAAGAGATATTCATAAATATATGATTTGTTTTTTTCGGTTTGTTAACCATTTGAGAGTTATTTAGAGCTGAAAAAAATATTTCGGGGTTGAGAATAATTCTTTAATTGCGTTCAGACGATCTGGGAGAAAGAAAGAAAGGAAGAGAAAAAGGAAAGAAAAGAGAAAATAAATAATACGAAACCAGGTCGTAAGCGAAAAACACACGCTCGACTGGCATATATCAGATGTCAAAAAATATCAGGTCAAGCACCTGACCTACTTCGGTGTCCACGAAAATGGAGGTTTGTTATCAATTTGGTTGAAGAAATAAAATTTTAGGGACAATGAAAAAAGAAATATTGATAAGTAACAAATAAAAGGGTGTCATTGAGATGATAGGTAACAGATGGGGAAGTGTATCTAAGGATATGAAAACAAAGCATTAATACAAGAACCCAGACAATACCAGAACTGAAAGTACAACCACCCAAGGTGATGTCGCTTTTTGAGATAATACAGGTTTTATTATCGACCGGAGGAGAATGAAATATTTTGTTGCGTTCAGAGAGACGCCGACAGGTCTAAGAAATTCTTTTCTTAGATCGTATCCAATTAGCGATAGGCTGTTTTGACAGATACCGCGTGTGAAAGAAACCGATAGCGTCATTCGATCTGGTACGAAAAGGGCAATTTAAATTTTGCTTTTTTTAGCAAGGTGTTTCTTCCCCCAGAACAAAGCCACGGATTGTCCACGCCCGATTAGAGACGTCACAAAGGAAGGAGGAAAGATACCGACCAGAGTCTCATTGGCCGAGGGCGGTCACGTGATACATGAGGGAGGAGGAGAGACACCCGACCAGGACCCCATTGGCCGAGAGCGGTCACATGATGTGCGAGGGAGGAGGAAAGATGCCCGACCAGGACCCCATTGGTCGAGAGCGGTCACCTGACATACGAAGGACCAGGGAAGCGGGTATACGCCCCCCAGAGGCACAGTAAGGAAGTAGGGTGAAAGTAAGTTACCGACAATGGAAAATCCCTAATCAGAAATAATACGTCTTTAGAATTATCAAAAACCCTGGCGCCGACAGACCCACCCCAGTTTTTGACTGCCTCAATAAAAGCAGGACCCTAACCGACTGAAATCAGTTGGAGCTGCGCCTCGGCTGAAGAGGGAGTTTGAGCGCGGGCTGCGGGCCCGGTTCATTCGCCCCTTTGCGGGCAAGAAAGGCCGGTTCGTTTGGCCTAAGAAGAGAAATTCGTCCAACCCAAGTCGAAGTGAGAAATTCGTCCAACCCAAGTCGAAGTGAGAAATTCCTCCAACCCAAGCCGAAGTGAATAAATTCGCCCAACCCAAGCCGAAGTGAATGAGCTCGTCCAACCGAAGCCGAAGAGAAGAAGTTAATTCGCGCACTGACGGCAGAGATGAGTGAACAATAATTCAGACTCTGAAGAGAGAGTTAGTTACAGCCACGGACGGCGAGAGAAATCAGCCGTGAACGACAGGTAGAGATCAGCGCCCAGTGTTGAAACCAAACCACACCCCGAAATGCAAATTTCTAGAGAGCAACTCGAGGCCTTAAAGTTGTATGGTAGAAGCTTGGTGCCACGGTCCACAGAACGGGTCGGGAGGTAGGAATAATCTTGTGTAACGAACAATTAGATATAAAAAGAAAGTTGTTACCTTTTTTCTTCAATATTTTTTGACCTTGTGAGTTTTATTTATCTTGTGTGTTATCACCCCCGTTGGACTCAGCTTGCATACGGCCCAATCCCTGTTTGATCCCGTCTGTCTAAGATCTAATCACAGCGTGGGTAGACAGACCGGAGATCAGTGTAGTTACCCTGGTAACCAGGCGTTGGAAGCGGGTTGGGAACAGCGAGGCTGGTATTCATCTAGCCAAAGGGTTAGAACGTCACACTTGGAGCAGTGAGGAGCGAACAGCTGGCGTCGCGAACGGGTTCGAACGACACAGTCGACGCTGCGACCAGGGGGGGGACGACGTCACACAGAGCTGTTGTCCGTGCCATCCTTTTGTACGGCTCAGAATCGTGGACTCCATGCAGGTACCATATACGCCAGCTGGATGTATTCCATAAGAGCTGTCTGCGTGCCATCTGTGGATTTAACCTTGAAGACAGGACATCAAATGTAGCCCTGTTTTACAGGTAATATTGGAGGAATCGAGACTTTCCTCATACAGTCTCAGTTGCGGTGGACTGGTCATGTCTTGAGCATGTCTAATGACAGGATCCTAATGTACAGCCAGTTAGATCAACGCTACAGGAATTGAGGACGGCCATAGCTAAGATATAAAGATATGCTGAAGAACATTTCTTGCTCCATATGCGGGCTGCATTGTAAATCACTAGCGGGTCTTAAGTGCCTCTTAAGATTATCGCACAAAATTTCATAACTGAATTAAGTTGTCGAAACCGACGAGAGAGTCCATTATATATATATATATATATATATATATATATATATATATATATATATATATATATATATATATATATATATATATACCATTCATGGAGATGGTGTCATCGCTGCGAGTAATGTTCATATGAATTTCGCGAGGTTCAGAAGTGTAAATTCGAGATTGTTTCGAGGGGCCTGATGTCGCTGTGATGATCAAATCTAGGTTGCAGGACACGGGGCAGTGCAGTGATACTTTACATATCTCATACGAAAGTTGTAAGGTATCCGATGACACTTGACAACCTGAATCTCGACGATGTTTGGCTGCCTCACTGTTTAACGTCACACACAAAAAAAACATTTAGAAACCTTTTACTATTTGTGATTCTTTATTCAAACGCAACAAAAAGACCAACTTTTAGAAAGAACAATCAAAGGTAAATGGAATTAGATTCCTTACAACAATGTAGAACGGAAAATATCATAGGCAATTGAAATATTGGACTCTCCCGTCGTATTTGACGTATGAGAGTCAAGCAACTCAGTTCCTAGGACCCGACAGACAGACACCAGCACATATGTTTGATTATAGTGGTGAAGGCTTTGTGCAGAACCAATCCCTCTTTTTGAAGGGCCGAATACAGAGACCTGGTGCACTACGTGCCACAAGGTTCCCCAAACAACCATCCGCAGGTTTTGAATTCAGAGTTGTCCTTCTCCAAGAACAGTTGCCATCCAGTGCTATAGAACCAAGTCTTTCCTGCTATTTACCCATAGCTGGAGGGAGAAAAAGACGATTAATACATTTCCCAAGAGTATTAGCACGTAAGAAGGTAATGGACTGGAATTCGAACTCGGCTCTCCGATTCCTCAATCCAAGCCGCTATCCACTCCAAGGAATGGAAATTAACAGCTCGGGTCTTCAACCGAAAAAGATAATGTTGTGTGCCAGCAGGGATTAGAAAAGGCCTTTTTGTATTACGAACTCGTCACAAAATTAGGGCTTGAATTCGGACAAGTATCTTTCCCATTTTGCCGATTAAAGGAAGGAATCGATGTGAAACGCCTTGAATTGATCGATCAGAAAGGCATCATTCAACCTGACAATGCCAGACCTTATCTCTCTTTGCCTAACCGTCGGAAAATTGGCACAGCTTAGCTACTTCGCCTGCCATACTTACTTGAGCTTACTTTCATTTTACTAACCATTACAAAATTCTCTTTAATTCTGTGGAAGCCTGTAAACACCACCTAGAAGCACCCAGAAATATGCCAAGTTCTTGAAGGACCGAGTCATGAACCTGCCTCAAAGATGGCGAAAATTGCTGAAAAAAATAGCACATCTGCGGATAAATGTATATAGCTGGCTACTCGTATTCGAGGATACCTGTCTACTAGGGCGACTAGCCAATCCCTATTGCAGACGCTTGCTCAGGCGCATTTGTGTTTATTAAACACCCACAGAGCCCACCTGCGGTTTATACTGCAACTATGCTGAGTAGACCGTAGTTACAGTTTCTAGGAAAGAGCGTGTTATCTAGCATGATCAAAGTTTTGAACAAGGCTAGCACGCTCAAGCTCTCAGCCACGATGACTTGTGGCTTCGTGCTAGCACAGTTATCAACGGCCCCCAAGAGTATAGTCTATAGTATTTCTCTCACAAGGATTGGGTCAACCTGTGATATACTTTTCAGGCACTTTCCAAAGGTACCACACGCTGGGATCGGTCCCTCCAGTTCGAAAACATCAGGAAGTCTCCTGACAAATTGATAATGGTGAGATTCGAACCTGGGTCACACAGTCAGAATGCGAACGATATGTGGTTAAATAATTTATATAAAATATCCGTATATTGTCTTCTAAATTTATTTTTAAAAATCGCTACGAAATTTTTCTCGATCCGATACAAAACGCATGAAAAAGATTCAACAGAACGAAAACAGACGAACTTATAAAAAAAGGCTACATTACAAATTCTCCATTAAGTCCTGTTTTAAATATATTCCTCTGGATTCACGTTGAAATCAACAAGCCATATAACAACTGTAAAAAGTTAGTACAGGTACTTCTGATTTGTCAAACCTCACAGAAAATATTCATTCTTTTTATTCTGTTAATGTCTGCTTGAACCGCTACTTTGTGAAACCAACTCCCAAGTGGGTGCTTCCCCGATCACTATAATCTTAACCTGATGAAGTCTAGGGTTAACCATTATCTTCCCTATATATCCTCATAAACCGCGCTTTTAAATCTGTAGCCGTCTATCTCTTAAGTTTTGTACAGGCCGAACATTTTTTATGACAAAAAAGACAATGGAGTTCACTTATACCAAGTAAATTTACAATTTTTGTAGAAAGCAGTGATTTTTCCAAGCATAACTTAGATGTGACACAAGGCCGAAATGAAGGAGGCACCCAGTGAGAATCGAACTCAATGCTTAATCTTAATTGTTCTAGCGAGACAACTTGCTAACCATTTTGATTTTCCAAGCGTAGCTTAGATGTGGCACAAGGCCGAAAGTATGGGGCACCCAGTGAGGATTGAACTCACTACTCAGTCGTAATTGTTCTAGCGAGACAAGCTTGTTAACCATTACACCGCCTCGAGGTGCCCAAATTGTTGTAGAAAGTATATGCAAGAATTATAGAGTTTTATACACCTTCATCACCATTTTTGTGTGGTTGATGTATTTTGGTGACGAATGAGGATTTCCAAGAGATTAAATGAAAATGCTGTTATTAGGAGAACAACATGAAAACAAGGCGTGAAATTCAAGAAGGGGTCGTTTTGTTTTTAATGTAGTTTGGTGCTTAAGAGGCAATGTAGCAAAAAATATTTATTAAGTCTTTGGAGCTGAACACGTTAAACATCGCGTAAAGCATTGATTTTTCCAAGTCTCTTAATTCCTATCACATATGATTGATATTATTAAAGTCCTCTTTCACATTATTTTGTTCTACAATCCGTTCACACCAGCGTATGTCAACCAGTGCATATGAGCACATTAATGCACACTGAAAGGTGCACTCTAAGTTAAAAGAAGAGTAATTTATTAATTAATTTAATTTTTAAAATAAAGCCTTTATTATTAAAAATCTAGAGACACCAAGGACATCGCGTCCATGTCTGAGTCAAATTTATCATTTGATATTTTAAACTGGATGCGAATTTTTTTAAAAGTTCAATAGATCAAAGATTAAACGCATCGGTGAGGATGTGGTTATTATATATAAGGTCAAAGCCCATCAGATTTCACACAAGCATAATTAAATATACAATATGACGTCTTAAAAATCATCATCATAATAATAAGGTCAAGAATTCATCTCGGATTCTCCTGACTCGTTCCTTCCAACCATCTCTGACAGACATTGCTGTCAGCAGGTCCTCTAGATGGCACCCAGTGTCATCTACAAGTTGGTCAATGTAGGTGCGATGAGGTCTTCCAACCGATCTTTTGCCGCGTAATGGGTTACATAGGAGGGTGTCACTCACGAGTTTTGACTTACTTCTCCAGAAGTGAACTAACTAGCCGAAGACTTCTCTCTCTTAGCGTAACTGAGATAGGAGGAAAGTGTCCATACAGGCGTTTCCAGGAGGTTGCTTAGAGCAGAGGTCGGCAACATTTTGCTGACAATGTGGTGACATAGGGTTTTAAAATCATTCAGTGTGCCAACAACATAGTATTTTTTATACAAGTCGAGGTCAATATACCTGTTCTACAATATGTTTTATATAGTAATATATACAATAATATGTAAGACACATTAATAGAAATAAACTGTTTTTAAAAGTTTGTTTTTTAAAAGTTTTTATTATTAATTGGAGTCCAATGAGTGAGCAGTTTTGAAACAGCTAATTATCTTCTTTGCGTTGTAGCAGTTATTGGTTCGGACTTCGTGATATCATTTGCGGCTGCGTACCATTGGAAATTGTTTGGTGTGGCACGTGCGGCACGCGTGCCGTGGGCTGCCAAACCTTGGCTTAAAGTACCCGGTGTTCTCAATCAGTCACACGTCTAAATGCTGACCAGACTCGACATTGAGCGTGATTTGGCCGTTGGCATTGCAAATATAGGTTTACTTCAAGTTCTTATTTTCCCTCAAAATTGATCATTGCTTTCCTGCTCTGAGGGTAATATCCTCAGCATCTTTCCGGTCTTCCACATCTATTATTCATCTCAGAGGAAATTCTTCATCTTCCAATTGCCATATTGAAGATTAGATTTGACATTGCAGTTCAGGAATCCTTTCGATCACTTTATACATTGCTGAGCTTCTGAAGGTCTTTCTTCTCTATAGAAAGGCTCATGGTTACATCACATAGAAACAACCGTTCTCAACTGATCAACGAAGTTAAGGCAAGCCGAGCCTGGTCAGTACCTAGATGAGTAATCTCTTTGGAATACCAAGTGCTGTAAGCTTGGAAGTGTGGCTGGTGTAATGGTTAATGGAAATTGGCAATCGGAGAGTCAAGTTCCAATTCCGGTACGTCTTAATTATATTTCTTTAAGCACAAATGCCAATTTCAATCGAGCTAAGAGTTAAATAGTAGGACTTCTTAGTGCTGACCAGGCTCGACGTTGCTTAACTTCGGTGATCGTACGGGAATCAGTCATTCAACGTGATATATCAATAAGGCATTTACATCACCCTGTAATTCAAACTTACAGTATTTTCGATTCCTAAGCCGTCACCCATTTAGGTACTGACTAGGATCGAAGTTGCTTAACTTCGGTGACTGAACGGGAATCAGTTTTTCAACGTGATGTGGCCATAAGCTTTTTACTCCACTCACACATCCAAACTTACAGCACTTTGCATTCCGAAGCGGTCACCCATCTAGGTACTGACTAGGATCGAAGTTGCTTAACTTTGGTGACAGAACGGAAATCAGTTTTTCAACATGATGTTGCCATAAGCCTTTTACTCCACCCGCACATCCAAACTTACAGCACTTGGCATTCCCAAGCAGTCACCCATCTAGGTACTGACCAGGATCGAAGTTGCTTAACTTCGGTGACTGAACGGGAATCGGTATTTCAACGTGATGTGGCCATAAGCCTTTTACTCCACCTGCACATCCAAACTTACAGCACTTGGCATTACCAATCCGTCACCCATCAAGGTACTGACTAGCATCGCCGTTGCTTAACTTCGGTGATTCAACGTGATATATCTGTAAACCTCCTATATCATTCAGTTTCCCTAGGATCATGTCAATGTCTAGGTTAAATAAATCCGGTGAGACAACGCATCCTTGTCGTCAACTTTTTACAATTTGTTTGTATTCATTGAACTCGATCTTAATCGCATTCAACCTGTTTTGTTTCCAGCAAATTTTAAGAAGAACTCGAATATCTTCGCAATGTAAATCAAGGTTTTTCAGTATTTCAAATAATTCTTAAATTCAAATGTCACTAAAAAATTGTTTGTTTAAGGTTTTGCAGTATTTCAAATAGTTCTTAATATCTGCTTTAGTTCAATCTATGAAAATTCGATATATCCTTTCCTATATTTGTATTAATCAATCAGGTATAATTTTCTTCACGAAAATTGCATTTCTTGTTCCAGTGCCTTGAATGTCATCATGAACCACAATTAAAACGGAATTGTATAATGACCACAACGGTAAAATATGCGCTAAATATATGATAATGAAACATCTTTAAATGCAAAATCTGGGATCAAATGTCGCTATAAATTCTCTTCTGTGTCTTCAGGAATGAGAACAGATGAGGTTGTTTAAAAAATTGTTTGTTTAAAGTGCACCGACTGATGTCAAAATAAATGCCGCAAGAAATGTTGAGGAAGGCGTTGATTGTTTGTATTTCGACGCTATTCGGTACTTATCGCAGTGGGTGTTCCATTTGGCACGAAGACTCGGAACTGAGAAATCTTTTATAGCTTTTTGGGGATCAAAAGATTTCTTTTTCTTTTCGGATGCGGGTGCACGGGAAAGTCTTTCATCTCTAGCTCCCAGCATTAGCAAGTGCCGACAAGGATTCTTTGTAAATGAAGACATATTTTTCTTACTTCTCATCAACTCGTAAAAAACAAATAAAATACTCATTATTATCGCCTGTTAGTGTATCTATCTATCTATTTATCTATCTATCTATCTGTCTCTATATATATTTAAATCAATAACAACAGGTTCAACATTGAGAAAAAAAAAGAAGACACATTCCTGTCGAGAAGTTACAGGATGGTTAATTGTAAGTGCCGAAAATTTAAAATATTGAACATTTTGGTAACGTCTATAATAAGCATTTATGAATAAAAAATATATATATATAGTAATAATTAATACACTAATTCCTATCGGGATCTTGGAGAGCGAGGAAACACGAAACTCAGAGAAGATCTGTGATCAGTATCGTAAACTAAATATTATACTGAACTGAATATATATATATATATATATATATATATATATATATATATATATTGATTCAAAAGTAATTATTAGTGGATACTCGTAATTAAAAAAAAACGCTCAATATCCACTATAGTAACTTTTGAATAATAAAAATATCGGCAAAACGTTTGAAATAAATAAAAATGGCCGATTATAAATGAAATCATTACCGAAAAATGTCTTGAAATAATAAAGAGTAAATTTTATTCAATAAAATCGCCATTGACTTCAAACACATCCCAGACGACTTCGGAATCTCTTGCAACTCTTCTGGACGAATTCTGTCATAATCCTTGCCTTCAGTCCATCTTTGGTGTTACAAGGAGTTTTATGGGTCTCTCGCTCAACTGCGCTCCACACAAAATGTCAAGTGGGTTGCAGTCTGGGGAATTAGGTGCTCAGATGCAAGGGGTGATGTGGTCGAAGAAATTTTCTGACAGCCATGACTGGTTCCTCCTACTTGTGTGGCATGGTGCAGAGACCTGTTGCAAGATGTAGGCACTTCCAGCACCCAACCTCTTGATCCGGGGTAGTACTATCTCCTCAACACACTTAATGTAGGACTTCATTTTGAGTCTGCGACCCTGTGGAAAGATGAATGGAGGTATAATATCACCATTGCTAGTGACCACTTTCGTAATCACCATTAGTCTTAACCAACTCTTTCCGAATACTCTGCAATGTCCTCATATTGACACCCGAACACTCTGATTAGTTCGTATTCGAACTTCCGGTATGAATGCCATGCAGTGTAACATGTCGTTCCCATATTTCTGGCGTAGTGAATTGCGTCATGGTGCTCTTTTTTTTTCTCACAGATGGTGCTCAATTGACTGTACTATACTGTGCAGTCAACAAAATCCAAAACAAACAACGCGCATGCGCAAAATTAAAAGTATAAGCTGGCGACAATTTACCCATCGTACACTATATATATATATATATATATATATATATATATATATATGGAGGAAAGAAGAAGAAGAAGAAGAAGAACTAGTTGTTCCCCTTAACATATCTGACGAGAGTTTTGACCTAAAATTCTGATTAAAAGAGAACAATTTTAAAGCATAAAATGCATTGAAGTTTCACTGATCACCGAATTGTTTACAGCCAAACTTAGACCGAGATCTTTATTCCGTCTTCGTCATATTCCAGTAACCTTTTCACACTCACCAGTCTGTCTCTCATTGAATAGCTTTTCCCCTTGTCATCTTTGATAATGGCTTGTGTAAGCGGAAAGCTTAGATTTGATTTAAACATGTATCAATATGGTGTTTTCCTTTCGTCTTTCAACGATCATGTGATTAAGCTTATCAGACAATATGAAAGGAACTTACTTAAAATAAATAGACAAAACTTGTCTATATGATTTAATGAAACATGCACTAATGAAAAATTGCTGCCTAAATATACACAATATATATATATATATATATATATATATATATATATATATATATAAAAGAATGTAGAAGTCATGAGCATAAAGAAAAACCTTGCACAGTTATATATATATACACACTTCCTCCAACACACAAACAAAAATAAGCAAACATGACAAAAAGTAACTGTATATGATTCGCCAGCGGCGCGTAGAAGAAGTAGTCAACTACTAGACGTGAGTCAAGTGAATTCCACAATAAATCTCCAACTGCAGGATAGAGAGAGTTTGACCAGCACAGCTTGGGACGATTCTTCAACTGCAGGATATCTACCAACCTCCCCACGCGGTTAGATGTGGCACAAGGCCGAATTTAATGTGGGGTATCCGAATCCATAGGCTCGACCAAAAATTCCCCGTAGCCCTCGTATAAAATTGGGTCGGGTAGCTATTTCCCGAGACGAGACTCTGCCCTTTGACAGAGCCTTGTCTAGGGATTCTCTACCCGGAGGCAGAGAGTTTGACCAGCAGACCAGGTGACGAATCTCTAAATGCAGACCAACATACTGTATTTACAACTCTATTTATGTGAATGGAGACATACCCACCATCGTCCGTAGGTATGCTACAACAGTAACCCTGAGAATTTGCCATAAAGGAATCTTTCCTCTTCCTGATTTCTTGAATGACCTCTAGACACATATAAATAAACCGCTATATATATACAGATCGCTAATGTAGTAATAAAATTTCGTCAAAAGATCACATTGAGTCGTGTTGATTACGATATCCACGCTGTCATAAACAAACAAAAAAACCACTGGAGTAGGAGTCTAAAGTAATCGGATTTTAAAAAAAGTAAATATGAAATTTGGAAAGTTAAGCAATTGCATAAAACAACTTAGTCGGGAGTTGGAAAAACTTAATAAAAATTTGAACAGACATATCTTTTCAGTATTGTTCAACAAAATATGTTTAAAAGATCTCTTGTTGCCTAAATACGCCTCATTCATATATATATATATATATATATATATATATATATATATATATATATATATATAGTGAGAGAGTTTTAAGGTATGCTATATTTATGGGATAAAATGCTCAATATCAGAGATAGAGCGTTTGTAAATATAAAAGTGAACATTGAAGTCAACACTCAGTGGCTAAACGCATATATATATATATATATATATATATATATATATATATATATATATATATATAATGTGTCCTGATGATTGAATTTAGCATGAAATAGTCTGTCGCCTCGGAGTGTTAACGTCAATATTCACTTATACATTGCGTGCCAAATTATTATCGAGATAATTTTTTCTAATATTTCAAAAATCGTCCAATCAATGCACACAAAATTTTCACAGTGTTGGCAACACTGACCTGCGCATTCACTGAAATTTTCGTACTGATCTGCGCAATGTAAACAAACTGGCACCATATTTGTTATCAGCATGGTGATTTGGGCGTGCCAAATTATTAGAAAGGTTTAGTAAAATTCCCAGAATTGAGCAAACAAAACGTTTATTAATGTTGCACGTGAATGTTTATGATCAAAAGAAGCTAATAAATAAGATAATCAAACAAATAATAACAGATACAAACAAAGGCACAGTTTTAAACAAATTAATAGGGAATGTGCTTTCCCTGTTTTGAAATTACTTGAAAAAGTTGACAATCCGTAGAATTTGTTAATTGTCTGCTTTAATGACGCGAGATATGTCAAGAATTGCTTCCCATAACTCAGCGTTGCTCCTGAATTGTCGTCCGTTGACGTACAGTCTTCGCTTCATGATGCTCCAAAGGTTTTCGATTGGGTTTAAATCCGGAGAATTTGCTGGCCACTTCCTTTTTCGAGGTCCATCGAAGCCTAACTGTTTCAAATATTCAGTAGTCTTGTGAGCAGCATGTGAGGGAGCATTATCTTGCATAAAAACAATGGCCCTTCTGAAGGCAACTCTTTGCCTGTTCATCCACGGTTCAAGGTGCTCCTTCATAAACGCTATGTATGCATCAGCAGTCATTTTGACGCCATCTGGTACTCTCCATGGGCCTACTAATGTTTTTCCAATAATACCACCCCAGATCATTATGCCTCCACCGCCTTGTTGGCGTCTCAAACGCCGATGTCGATTCTGTCCGTTCATTACCCAGCCTTTGCACCATCTATCTAGCCCATCAAGTGTTGCTCGAGTTTCGTCTGTGAACAAAACTTTAGAGAAATCAATCTTCATATTG